AGCCAACCTGGAACCCACCCTGAACCCAACCTAAAAAGCCTGGTGATGCTGACAATGAAAACGATGCCAAGAATGTTAGAACGCCAGGCTAAACCTACCCTGAACCTTCCCTGAACCTATCCCAAACCTTCGTCCTGCCGAGGCGCCAACCAACCAACCAACCAAGCAAGCAAGCAAGCAACCAACCAACCAACCAACCAATCACCTGCCAGGGTTAGCCCTGTGCCAGGGCTAGGCCAAAAAAAACACCCTTTCCACGACAAACACGCTTAACAAAAAGGAAATTAAATGGCTCCCGACCGCCCTGGACAGGTCCATGAGTGGGGCAAAGCCCAAGAATGGTCACACATTCCTGACAGGACACGAAACAAGCGCACACCCCTGACCCTATTGATTATTATAATTGTTATTGTCACCATTATTATTATGTTATAAACAACCTTTAAAATCCCCTTAAACCCATTAAATTCACCCAATTCCCAACTTTGAAAAACAAAAAATATCCAGACCCCAAACCTCCCGCCATTTTCCCACTCCCTCTGCGTGTCACCAGGCCCGCATAGAGCCGCAGCCAGGCGTAGCTTTGACCTGTGACGGACAGCAGCACGGCGCAGAGCGTCCACAGCAGCGCCAGCGCAGTGTCCAAAAATTTGGGCCATTGCTGGGTGGAGCCTCGCCTGTCGGGAGAAGCAAAAGCGGGCTTCAAACTCCACGAAAACAGCGGGGTGTAAGGTGAAATGGGGGCTTCAAACTTGGAAAAGGGGGAGTTTACATCAAGGTTTCCAAGGAAAAATGAGATGTCGCCCGTGGTTGGGTAAGGAAATGGGGCTTCAAACTTGGCGAAAAAGGGGGGGGACGGTTTCCAAGGAAAAGGGAGCTTAGCCAAAACCCTGGTAGTATGGTGGGATCTCGCTCCTGTGAGCTGGCTTGATAGAAAGGGTCTCATGCGATCCTGCCTTCGGCGTGGGATTCCTTTTGCTTCTGGGATTCCTTTGGTTTCCCTTGGGTTCCAAGAAAAGAACGTCCTTGGCAGGAGCCCTGAAAAGGTTTTGTTGACCTGAGAACACCCAGCCAAACACACAGCCAAACATGTGTTTTCTCCATGGTGAAGCCCACAAAATGAGCCGAAGAATCCGTCATTTGCCGTGGAAACCAAACGGAAACGATAGTAAGCTGGATGGAAACAAACCACTACCACTCGATCCACACCTAAGCCTCTTTTGGCGGAAATCCACAAGGTGATCTACAGGCTGAAGGGATACAGGGTGATACTGGTTTGCGGATAGTTGGTGTCCTCTGGGCTTCCACCCAGGCCAAAGTTTGATTAAGCGACATACCCTGGTCCACCTGAATAAAGGGACATCAATGATTTGTGGCGCAACTATGGAACAACCAACCAGTGCGAAGCTCGACTTCTTTTGGAATATCAAGAGAACACGTGCTCCTCAGCGCACAAGGCCCGGGATGAACTCCAAAACTTGTGGTTTGCTTGGGCTTCCTGCGCGTTCCCCCCCGTGGTTGTGCAAAAGCTGATTGAAACCACCGCCCCCTGGTCCAAAAAAACAAATCACCCCTAAAAGGTTTAGGAGTGGTTTTGGGGTATGGATTTGGGGGTGGCGGTTTGCTTCAGCCCAGGGTTTGCAACTAGGTTTCCTTGGAGGTTGACATTGATTTAGAATGATATAACGGTTCCGGAGTCCCTTCAAAACTTCGAAAGCCGGGATATGACCTTCCCAGTGCTGCCAGGCAAGCCTGGAGTAAGTAGCCAGGTATGATGACCTTTAGGTTTTACCGAACGGCTCTCCCTTGTTACCTACCCGAGTGGCGACTGCAAGCACCGGGCTTCCAAATTTGGCCGATGGTTTGTGCTCAGCGCAAATCCAAATCGGTGTGGTTGAGGGAACTCGGTAGGGAAACCCAAGGGGAGGCACCCAGAAATGAGTCTATACAAGGTAGCGTCAACAAGGCTGACTATACTGTATCAACTGTATACACTGAGAACCCCAGAAACTTGTGTTTCGGACGGCCCGAAATTGGAGGAGCCTTGCACAGAACCTGGAGATTCACAAAGACACACCCATCTCCCTGAAACAAAGTTGGCTTCTGGAAAACTAAACCGCCCAAACAAGCTTCCTCTCAAGAAAAGGGACGAACCTACCCTCCCCAAACCCACCAGGTCCCTGAATCAGAAGGTGATTGAAAAAACACAAGTTAAAGTTGTTGAACATCAAAAGTCTATTGATTTATTGCAAAAGTTGGTTGATTCATTGGCAACCCCAATGGAAAACACCTGCCCGCATCCCACTCGGTCCGCGCCAGTAGGCGAAGCCATCCAGCAGGAGGCCAATCAGAGACAGCAGCGCTGCCAGCAGAGCACCCAGTCGTGGCTTCCAGCTCATCCTCAAGCCGAGGCGGACGATTTGACTTGTGAATCAAAGGGCGCCTAAAAATTCCCGGTGTAACACATAGTCAGATGGCACCCGCCCCCGGCCCCACCCTAAATCAGAAGGCAAACAAACAAGGGCAGAAAACAGAAAACACAAACAGAAAACAATGCAAAAACAGGGTTCTCCAGCAGAAGGGTAATTTCAGGGACACACAACCACAAACAGAACAGCCATTAAATAAAAAACATAGACACCGGTTCTTGGTTTCCAGGCACACTTTCATGCTCAAATGTGAAAAAAAGGTGGACATCAACCAAAAGCACTGTACATACCGTGAAATGGAAACATCTGACCACTAGGGCAAAGGCATCTGAAGGACCTGCTCTGCATGGTCAATGGGGGGGGGAGGTTAGCAAATGTGCATATTAAAAATATATGTATATATACGTATACAGATATATATATATATATATAATAGTAACCAAGGCGACCCTTTTAGAATTGAAAGGACATTGTCTGGTCACGGTAACTGGGATGCACTGGGATCCGCTGGCCCCCGCCAAAAGGAAACACACTTCAAATTGGCCCAGGAGAAGCCGCAAGGGGACCCTATACCAATTCCCCAGCCCAGTCAAGACCTCTTTCTCTTTGGCAGCAAGTTTGGCCTTCTGTCCCAATGCGCATCCCCAGACCCTTGGGTCGGGTCTGTGTGGAGGTGCATGACCCATGCATGACCCCTGAGAAAGCAAACAAACCCACGCGAAGGTAAACGAAAACCACGGGCAGGCGCGAGCATTTCTAATTCGTGTGAAGGACACCTTGTAAATGCTTTGATCAAATACGCCTGAGTGTTCGAATGCGCAAATGGAAGCAAGTAAAGGGAACATGTGCAACTTGACACAGAAGACATATGCCACAGGAACGCCACACGGGGAGGAGGCACATGGGGCACATAAACAAAAGAAACACTCGCCACAAGCTGAGAACCTCTAAAGAAGAGAACTGTACAAGAGGCGTTTCTTTGCGTTTCCAAAATGGCTCTCCAAAGGATTGCGAGGAGGCCACACGCCATCTTGTCTCTTTCTCACTGTACAAGTGGCTCCCTTCACAACCATGCTCTGTGAACTTTTGGTCATTTTTGGGTGGCTTTGAAGGGGAACCAGAAAGAACCATTTGCTAGACTACTCCCAACTCGGAAACCCGCTTAAGATGGCGATTCAAAAGAAGCTCAAATTGGCCTCCCCTTAAACCAAGGTAAAACGGCACATTCAACATTATCCACCTGGACCCTCAAACTACCCATCAAACAAATAGATTTCCCACTTTGAGGGTCCCCGCCAGCCACTCTGATCTCAGCTGTGCGTCAACAGGGCCGCTGCCGTGATTGCGCCAACCGTCATCAAGCGCGCCAAATGGCGAAGCGGCCGGCACGACATCGGCCGCAAGAAGCCCAAGGCTTCTAGCAAACCCAAGGTCCTGTCGGCCTATGCTTCCTGCTTTGCTTCGCAGGTCTTAACGTGGCAAAACTGGAAAAGGTTCCAGACAAATATGCTTGGGCAAATGGATAGGAACCGAAAGGAACTCAAAGGAAGCGCTGGTCAGTGTATTGTCCTCAAAGCGGAACCAAACAACAAGGGAGAAACAACACATTCGGGTCTTGATTGAAATTGTGTTGCAACGATGTTGGTGCAAACTATGTAGCATCTTGGCATGTTCTGCGAGGAAGGCTGAGCATCCATGCCTCTTGGAATGTTCAAGCGCAAATTGCTTTAACACTTCGGTTGCCAAGGGCCGGAATAAAACTTCAATATTGAAACGTCACACGCAACGCTCTTAGGTCGGACCCTTCGAATGGGAAAGTCCGTCTGTTTTTAGTGGACAGGCAGTCGTGAGTGCGTGGGTATTCACAGAGCGGTACAAAAGAAAAGGATTTCAAACCAATAAAAACTGAACGACTACACGCTTGGTGCAATGCGCAAGTTGCTCAGGTTGGCAGACAGAAGTTCCAACAGGGGAATCCTTCAATTGAACTTCAAAAGCTTTGGCGCGCAGTCTCTGGATATTCATCCGTTGGCGCGCGGTTTCGCCTCTGGAGGCCTCTGCCCCTCTGAGCCGCACAAATGCAATGCAAGTGAGCCACGGTCAATATTTACGGTGTCCCAAACTGACATTGGACTTTGTTGAGTAACCTCCATGCCCTCATGCTAATCTGCTGAGTGTTCCCAATATCCTTCCCTTGACATTGAAGAAGACAGTAACATGTCACCCCGTTCCCATGTCCTGCATGAAGTCGACAAGCAATGTGCACATAGCTGGCTAAGCTCTACATATCGCGTGCGTGTCGCGGCATCGTATGCTTCTCGGTTTAGGCGGGCCTTCCCTTTGAAAATCAACATGACTGTGCAAACGGCAATGCAGCAACTCCAGAATGCTGCGGGCTCTAGATTGAGTGGCGAACCATGAGCAAATGTTGCATGACATCATCCCAGCTGAGGAAACACGACTTTCCACTCGATACATGATGACTGCTAGTAGTGCCAGTTGGCAGTCTTGGAACCAACTGACATCCTGACCAGCAACGACCCGCTTGTCCAAACCCTCTCAGCTTCGATCCATCGGAAAGATCTCGGAGGGAGCCACCTCCTGGCTCGTGGATTCTATAGGGTCGGCTTTACAGGCCCCACCCGTGGATACCCTCTTGGGAAAGAGTTGGTAAGCATGATCCGCAATAATTCCAAAGATTGAAACAATGGATCCCCAAGCAAGTGACCTACATCAAGGTGAGTTTGGTTTGAGCTCGTCTTAATTTTCACCCCGTACTTGAAAAAGCATCCTAGCCCTCTAATAATAAGAAAAGGCTTGTTGAAATCCCAGCGCCACACTAAATTAGAAGAGGTCAAGTCTGAACCAGTGCTAACTCAGTGCTTTCTCCCCACCGAACTTTCGTCCAGTCGTATTAGCGCACCCTTTGTCCTCAGCAAGCAATTGTTTGGAAGGAGCAACAAGTGGCGGTTCTAGAGTTCTAGGCAAGTTTCTTACTTAAAACAACACACATCGGTCAACATGTTCAGACTCCGATTCGGGGGAGTACGTTCCAAACAAAGCACAAGTTGACCCCATTCACTCCTGGCAGCCCCAGTGGGTGGGGTGGGGGCGGGTGAATTAGGCAAATTATAAGTTGTGGGCATTTCCTCTTGAAGGCACCCCTCCCCCTCTCAGTCGCCAGGTTAGTGGGAGGGAAATTCATTCAACTGGCCAATCGCTGTCAAACCGCTATTTCTCTCACCACTATCCGAGTGCACTATGGCAATTCACCCGTCCCAACAAAAATACATTCATAGGTGAGGCCATAAACCCCTTGGTCGGGCCGATGTGACTTGCCGATCTCAACCTCTGATGAATGAACTCTCCACACATTTCACCGCAGGGACCCCTCTGAAGTAAGATTAATTTCTGCCAGGCAAATCCATCTAAATAATTTCTTGCAGGCGCGTTCCAGAACAATACTTCCCCAACAGCTTAAAGCTAGGCAGATATATAGATATATACCCCCCGGGAAAAGGAATCGGGATGGGAGCAAGAGCAGGCATCTGTCAATGAGTCAAGGAACGGCGTGGCTAGAAACGACCAAACTGATCCTTGCACCTAAACATATGCCCCCCATATAGGTTTAGGGATAGGTACAAGTGTAGGAGGTGCAGGTGCAAGCGCACGACCAAGCAGAGAGGCTCCGCAGTCCTGGGAGCGTGTGCAGCTTCCTTGATTGCGAATTCCAGTAAGAATAAATGTATAGGCACAGGTACCGGTGCCTGTGTGTGTGTGTGTCTGTAGGTGCATCTACGAGTTAGCGGGAGCGGAGGTCGGAGGTACAGACCAGCTCTGCGCCCATTCCTTCTGGGTATATGTCTAGGAGACAGACACAAAAGTGCTTTATGGCTAGATAGATAGATAGATAGATAGATAGATAGATAGATAAATAGACAGATACATAGGTAGGTAAGTAGGTAGATACATATGTATATATGGGTAGATAGATGGTTAAATAGGTGGATCCTGTATAGATATCTATTCAACAAATGGTGTTCCTCCACATTTATATATATGGGGGTGAAATTCATCGATCCGGGATAGATACGTGTTCAACAAATGGTGTTCCTCCACAGAATTTCTCCGGGGGGGGGGGGGGGGTGAAATTCATCATTGGGCCAACGAGAAGCCACGTCACAATAACTTCCGACCGCCATACAACTGTTTCCCAAGTAGGCGCCCTGTGCGTCCTTTGTGGTTTCCATTTGAACCAGTTTCCAGTTCTTGCGTTTCCTTTGGTCTTCAGTTTCCTTAGATCCGCACATGTTTATTTAAAATGTGCTTCTTTCCAAAGGAGGGTCCCCAATTTAACGAAACCATGTCCAGCTTCGCAGCAGCCATCCGGCCTTGCCACTCTTTGGCAGCCTGAAGGTCAAAGAGACCGGCCTGCGGATTTATTCTCACGCACGCACACATCCCGTTGCCGCCCCAGTAGACACACCCCATGCAACACCCGCCCAGCCATCACGCTTTCGCAAAAAACCAAGGCGTGTTTAGTGCGCTTGCGTGTGTGCATGTGTGTGTGTGCGCATGTGTGCAGGTGTGTGCATGTATGCAAGTGTGTGCTTGTGTTCGTGTCTCTGTGCCTGTGCGCGCGTGTTCGCGTATGCGCTTGCACGCAAGCGCGTGGGTGCATGCTTGCGTGCGTGCGTGCGTGCATGCGTGCGTTGGTGTTGGTGTTGGTGTTGGTGTTGGTGTTGGTGCGTCGGTGTGTCGGTGTGTCGGTGTGTCGGTGTGTCGGTGTGTCGGTGTGTCGGTGTGTCGGTGTGTCGGTGTGTCGGTGTGTCGGTGTGTCGGTGTGTCGGTGTGTCGGTGTGTCGGTGTGTCGGTGTGTCGGTGTGTCGGTGTGTCGGTGTGTCGGTGTGTCGGTGTGTCGGTGTGTCGGTGTGTCGTGTGTCTGTGTGTCTGTGTGTCTGTGTGTGTGTCTGTGTGTCTGTGTGTCTGTGTGTCTGTGTGTCTGTGTGTCTGTGTGTCTGTGTGTCTGTGTGTCTGTGTGTCTGTGTGTCTGTGTGTCTGTGTGTCTGTGTGTCTGTGTGTCTGTGTGTCTGTGTGTCTGTGTGTGTGTCTGTGTGTCTGTGTGTCTGTGTGTCTGTGTGTCTGTGTGTCTGTGTGTCTGTGTGTCTGTGTGTCTGTGTGTCTGTGTGTCTGTGTGTCTGTGTGTCTGTGTGTCTGTGTGTCTGTGTGTCTGTGTGTCTGTGTGTCTGTGTGTCTGTGTGTCTGTGTGTCTGTGTGTCTGTGTGTCTGTGTGTCTGTGTGTCTGTGTGTCTCTGTGTCTGTGTGTCTCTGTGTCTGTGTGTCTCTGTGTCTGTGTGTCTGTGTGTCTGTGTGTCTGTGTGTCTGTGTGTCTGTGTGTCTGTGTGTCTGTGTCTCTGTGTGTCCGTGTGTCCGTGTCTGTGTCCGTGTCTGTGTCCGTGTCTGTGTCTGTGTCCGTGTCCGTGTCTGTCTCCGCGTGTGCGTGTGTATAGTGTGTCTGTCTGCCTCTGTGTGTGTATGCGGCTGTGCGTACGTGCGACTGTGTGCGTGTGTTTGACTCTGCGTCTGTGTTCTTGGCGTGTGTGTGTGTATATACATGTTATCGCGGTGGCAGGAGCAGTGTTAGGTTTTTTGCAAGGTCTGCCCGATGTCTCCACCGGCTGAGCTTTATGAAAATGATTGCGTGTGACCAAATTCACTCACCTCCCCCTAGCAGCGAACAGTACGACTACAAGAAATTGGCAAATGTCAAAACAGGGGGACCCGACACAATTGTGTTGTTCCTTTTGGTTTCCCTTGAAACAAAAGTTCATGAGGTATCTTAAAGACACTCAAGCATCTGCCCAAACGTTTGCCGCTTGCACCTTTGGGCACTTGTGGGCATCCCTTGGAGTCCTTAGAGATGCCTTCTATTCGGCTGCGTGTCAAAACAAGGGACCCTGCCAAATGGTTGGATTCCTTCCAGTGTCCTGCTGAATTTCTTGGGTTCCTTTGGAGTTTTGTTGGGCTTCCTGGTGGTTGCCCTTTGGGCTTTGTTGAAACTCGACCCAAGTCCCAAATGGCATCCCAAACAGGAACAAATCCTGCTTTCACCCCGGTCAATACTCTTTGCGTCCCCGACGACCATTGGAGCTTGGTAAGGAAAGAAGAAATGATAACTTGGTGAGTGCACCGTCATCCACTTTGTGGCAGCAGATGACAGTGAAAAGAAGCCTGCTCACAAGGTAGTGTTTCCCCTCACAGAAATACACATGGACACGAGCAGCATTCCAAAAAGAAAGGTTTAGTCCTTTAAAAGGGGCAGCTGTGCACCAAACTATGTTGGTGGCAGGGCATGATGTTTTACCAAAAGTGGTGCAACACTAAACACGAGTGAGAAAGTCCTATACAAACAACCTAAACCCAAAAGCATCTTGGTTTCCTTCTGGTTTCCCTTCAGAGACATCCAAAGGGGGGTCCCCATTTGCCTGGGTTAATAATTGTGAATATTCCCCGCCTGGAGGAGATACGCCGGGCGACCTGACAGGCGGTTGCATTTGTTCACTGAAGGCCTTTTGCCGAAAGGTGATGATGATAACCACCCTATGGGAAATATAGGGAATCCAAAAAACTGTCATAAAGCACCTTGTAGGTGATGTTGGACACCACCCCAATTACCAGAAACTTAAGAGCCAGATCACTCAGGGGCCCTTCTACTGGACTGCATGTGGCTACTCTTCTTGAAGGACGGGCGGGCATCAATAGGATGTCAGCCGTTCGATGAGGGTTGGTTTGGAGGCATAGTATCGGTTGGCGACACTGGCTCCCTTTGAAAAGGGTCCCTTTGCCCATGGTGACACGGTCATTGTTGGACTGTGGTTGAAGGCAGCAAGTGGCTAAGGGAACCCTGACCTTTACCCACCCCTGTGACAAGCTGACAGTAGCTGTGGAACAGAACGCTGTTGAAAGACTCTGTAGCAACTTGCAAGGCAATCAAGAGGGTTCTGCTGCCACTTGCTGTTACCGTTCTGCAATACAGCTTGCCTGCACAGTCCCGCTGTCAGTTGGAACATATGCTGCCGGGATCTCGAGGGAAAGTCGGGATCTCGAGTCGCCACCTGTTTTTGCTTCTTCGCCTACAACAGAAGTAAGGCTTGCATTCAGAATGGGCGTGAATACCAACACAATCCAACACATACCTAGGGCCATGCGTTGCATCCCCAAGAACTGACAATTGTGGCGCATGGACCAAAGAGTTCCAAGATTGAGATGTGGGTTTCTCTTTCTTGCCCAGGTTAAGAAATCACCCGTGTTTGGGGTCCACTTGAAGTCTCGCCACAAAGTCATGTAACAACTTGCTTTCTTCTTCGCTGCAACTTTCATGGCTTAGCATGTCGGAATCACGGCCCAACCTCTGCTGCGCGCAAAGTTAAACTCTTTGCTAGCTAGGTCCATGGGGGATTGTATCAATCTTGTTTCAGAGAATCCACTTGACCATCTGATGGGGGAAGTCAACTAAAACAATACGTCCATCCAGCCGCTTGATGTCGGTTTGGAGCTGCAAATGGCTTCAGATCCCGCACGAGTGGACCCCCACACGGTGCTTGTATTCTGTTGAGCCTCGTGCCAGTGTGAGCTAGCTTCGCACATTTCCACTTTCAAGTCCAAGCGGTGATGCTGGAAACCACAAGGTCAAAGAGTGTTGTCCTCTATGAGAACTACCGTGTTCAGGTCCATTGAAAGGATAGCCAAAAGGGACCACTGCATAGTTGTATATATATATATATATATTCTATGTACACACCTAATATGTATATGATATATTCACCTAGATGGTATACGGTACATACAAATTAATGTATGTGTCAACATGGCAACGGGATCTCTTGCCCCACCCCCCACCCCCCACCTCGCTGCGGGGCGTGTAGGGCGTCACGCGGACCCGGTTGATGGCCACCAGCTCCGAGCCTTCCTCGGGGCTTCGGAGAAGCCGAGCGAGGGCGAAGCTCATGGAGCCAGCGGACGTGGGTGATCAACTTGGGCACCAATTGATATATATATATATATATATATGTATGTATATATATACATATATATATACATATATATATATATATATATTATCTTACTTGGTATTTACTTGAACCCTTAGGGGTTCCTTCAATCTACATTCGGCTTGGTTATAAGCGTGGTTCTTTCTTTAAGGAAAGCCCAGTTACCCCAGAAGAATTGTCCATGGTGTTGTAAAACCGATGTCATCTTTCCTCTAGTTCGTGGGTTGGATTGGGGAATTGATGGATTGGTGCTGTGATCCGGGGATTTGCCAGCAGATGCTTGAACCAGCTATATCCATGGTTTCCTAAATGCTGAAGGGAACCCCCCTACTTGGGTACTCAAACCAAGCTAAAGCACAGCTTCTCAATTCTCCCAGCTAACAACCAGCTATATCCCTTAAGACCTCCCGTGGTTGAACATCCAGGGGTGGTCACAAACAACTTCCAAGGCTGATGGTACTATATCGCTTCCAAGGCACCTTATGTCCACTCACCAAGATTGCTTGCTACCAAACCACTACCTTCCCAAACCTTGGTCTTCCCAAACCTTGGTACGGTTGCAAAAAACAGTTTCTGTCTTTTTGCGCAGCCCACGAAGCCTAAACTGAACCAAACAATTAAAGCAAAACAAATGGAAGCAAAAGTGAAGACATGGCAAGTCCTTGGTGGACATAAAGCGCCACCAAAATGATGTCCGCAAAAGGGTGCTCCCCCCCCGGAAAAAACATGAAGCCACCAGCCACTGTGATAAGGGCATATCGAACCTTTTGCTGGGAGAAGTGGTTTGGGGGTACCAAGAACTCGGCCTATGTCGGTTTTGAGGGACACTAAATGGGGCGTCTCCATTTTCACAAGCCATTTGGCCGCTGTTCTGAGCTTCATCGAGCCCGTCGCTGAGAAAACTAAAGCCAATGGAACCCCATCCTACTTGCAACCAAACTGACCTGCAAAGGACACGCGGTGCTGGATTTGTGTTTAGGGAACCCTACATGCTAGCATAAATCCAACTAACTGACATCCAGCCTGAAGTTTGAGCCTGGAGTTGGCCCTGCAGACAGTGCATCAGTGCTTGTACAAACGCACTGACTTGCTTGTTTTTTGGGCCTTATCCTTCTTTCCCCCTCCCCCCAATAAATCGCTGCGTCGAACAAACGACATCCAGCAGAAGGGCCCCCATGAAAAGGTCAGCAAGGGGGTGTTGCCATGGCATCCCCACCTCCATCTTGAGCGCTGAGGCTGGCGGGTGCGTCGCACGCCTAAGCTGCGCTCCGAATCGGGGACGAGCCCCAGCTGAGCCGAGTTTGCGGAAGCTTCGGATAGTTCTTGCTTGAGGGTCCCTGACCAAAATGGATGCTGAAAAGCAACTCTTTCATTTTGCAGGTTGCCCTCAATGGGAGACAAACCCCATATGCAGTCAAATGCCATATCCCTCTCACTTGTCGATTTTCGTGTACTATGCCTATTGCAAAAGGCTTCACATGCTGAAGGACCATGCACGATGGACAGCACTAACGTCTGTAGATGCATCTTGCCGTTCATTCAAAGATGCTAGAGCACCACCTCTCTGGCGGCATGTTGCTATACTCAGTATAATGGCCAGCACGAAAGAGGCAGGAATTGCGCAAATCAGGGGAAAGCACATATGGCACATGCCAGGAATAACCCACAAGGTCAAGCAACAATCGACATCTGCGCGCATAGACAGGTCCAGCAATGCGTGTGCCTCACATGCTGGAGGCTTTCTGGAGCTCAGAAATGTCAGTTGCGCATTGGAGTGTACCCACCTGACTTAAGGAATCGATTCCTGAGTCAGATACCCTAAGCTTCCCTTTTGCCGAGGTGAGCTCGTTGCGTCAACACAAGACTTGGCAAGGAGTCAATTGTAACCCAGCTTGGTGCAATGGCGCATGCCTTTTGGAGCCAAACAAGCCTCATGTACTTTCGCAGCAGCTGGCCTACAGAGGTTTCACCCTGATCCTAGGTAGCCCAAACCAACTTATCGATTCACCACCAGTAACTGACTGCCTGAGCGGACTGTACGGAGACACTGACAGATCTTCCTCAAGTGCTTCAGGTCCAGACACTGGGGAATAGAGGAAGACCGATTGCGCAATTCCAGCAAGTCTGCTAAGCGTGATAAGGGATGGAAGTTCAAAGCAGCAAATCTTCTGCCAAAAAGTGTTTGGCCGTCATCCACGGCTTGGTCACTGAAGATGCGCCGTAGTTTCAAATACTCTTCTTGGAATGGGGAATCGGCTTCATCAACCTTCGGGAAGTCCAACGGAACTCTTTCAGGTTTATTCCCTTGGGGTTTTCTCAATCCCAGAACAGTATTCTAACAACTGTTGACACACCCATGCCATGGAGGCAGCTTCAACCTGTAAGCCACATTGAGCTGTCGGGCAGCCGCCAGGTGGAACTGACAGCCCCGGAGGCCTTCACATGGTCCATCCCCGAGTCCGTTGAATCGGCCCGGAGAGGCCAACGGGAAACCAATGGCAACACATCCTCTTGGGAGCAAAAGGCCGATTTGCTGCTTAAAACCCCAAGGCCCAAAGCATAAGTGCCGCATCGGAGTGCGGATACCGCTGGTTGAATGAAGAGGCGTCCGGAGGGGACCACCTTCAAAGCGCAATCTCGCAAGACATTTCGGTGGCAGTCCCTCGACATGTTTACATAGCAAACGATAAGCGTGACCCCACAATGTAAGCAGCCTCAAACCCGCTTGACATTGGCTATAACGTGTTATAAAGGTTTCTATAGGCTTTATAACCCCAATTACTCGGGCCACGCTCAACGTGCACACGGCAGGCCTTGTAAGTCTGTGCAGGGGTTTCCAAATTTAGGGGTCCCCGCCAAAGACACTTCCAAGATGCTCTTGAACAGGACACCCATGACTCAAGCGCAAGTCGCACCGGGGAAGCATTGACCCTGCCTCCTCACTGGGTTGGAGTAAATCGCCATCAGAGGTAACACACATTTTGGCTGACTCTAAACGGGTTTTGCAAATGGGTTCAGGATGCAAGACACAGAATTGAAAGTGGAACCCTGCTGTTACAACCTGTTTAGGGTCGGCTGAACTTTGAGGGGTCGATGGAACAAAGCTTCATTCTTCGGTTTGATGATTCCTGCCTCCACGCGGGAAACAACTTTCTGAGACACGACAACATCGACAGTCATCCTAAAGGAAGCACTTGGGACAATGCTGCCAACTACACGTTGGGCGCCTTGAAAAACAGAGCATCGATCAACCCCCCCCCCACCCACCCAGCCACTCAGCCACACTTATTTTAAGCGCCCACTTTCCCAGACCCCCACTGCGGCAAAGGGAGGGGCCACTTTCGATGGGGGCCTTGGATTGAGAGCCCTGTGGAAATCGGCTCATTTTTCAGCCTCCTTCACCGGCTCCTCGAAGTCCTAGCCAGGAACACGGCTCGGCAGTGCAGCCCCAAGGGGGGCCTTTTTGGCTGAAGTGATGTAAGCTGGGTGTTGAGCAGGGGGTCTAGAAAAATGAAGCAAACCAACATATCCCCTTGTAGCTTCCTTGGGCAAATTTGAAGCATATGGAGTTTTTAGCACCCGAGGTTCGACGCCAAGAGCCATAAGCCCAAACAGAAAGGCTCAATCTTACTCATGAGGGTTAACGGGCCCGCGGATTTCTCAAGACCTGCAGCGGCCACGAAATCAAACTGGGGAAGTCGCACTTGGTGCCGGCTGAGTATATAACAATCAACACCTGGTCTCAGAATGATCAACCCCAAATCCATGTAAAGAAAGAACAAGCTGGCCCTGGCTTTGATTCTAGCTCGACGGGTGCTCGCTTGACACAGGTTAAGATCCGGCTGCGCTCTCCGTGACAGGCATCTGCGGTCAACCCCGGGTTTGGTGGATGTCGAGGTGTTGCTTCTTTGTTCAATTGTTTGCTTGCAGTACAACAGGCCTGAATATCCTCAGAGTTAAGTGAAAATAGGTGATATACTCCTGTACAGGAAGCCTCTGCAATACTTTTTACGTGGCCAACGATTGTCGGCCCACTTTACCACTGTGGAAGTCCCCCTTGGCAGCTGAAAGAGAAGCAAGCCAGGTTTCCGACAGTCAAAGTGCTGTGTGCCACGAACAAACGGCCTCATCGATTCTCACCGCGGGCATTCGTGAAAGGCCGGCACCCCGTGCAGTTTGTGCCCCAACAAACACATGGCCGTCCTTTTGATAGTCCTTCAAGCGAAGCTGAAAGGGGAACCCTGAGAAAAACAATATGGCCGGAGGGTGGCAAAAAGGTATGCTGTTGGACAGCATGGGTGCCTGCTACTGTAATTCCACCTTAATCGGACCTACCAAATGACGAATGCTTCGCGGAAACGGAGGGGTATTGAACATGCCTAAATAATTAGAATGGGGTTGTTGATGTGCCAAAATGTGCCTTCCCCTCTGGTGTTTGTGGTTGAAGTGTCCTTTCTCCCCATGTCAAATTGGGCCATATTGGTAAAACCTGCATCAACTGAACAAGCTCAGAGCCAGAAAGGCCGCGAATTCTGGTTAAACTTGCCATAGTTCCTGTAGCAATAGAGGAAAACTAGGCCTTTTGGGGGCTCTGGAAGACTATATGTTCCTTTTAAAGGGACACTCTGGTGGTCTTCCATGGCATTTTTCAGGCCTAGGCGCCTTTTCACCCCTTTTTCTTGTGGTGCAATTTGTAAACTTGGGTTCCTTGAGGACAAAAGGATACAAAAGGCCAGCCCAATTTACCTTGGGCCTTCCGGGGACCTCCAATTGATCTTAGTTAAGGGGCACCACTGGAGCGGGGGACTCTCGGCCGCTCGATCCGGGCCGCCCTACCAAGCCGATGCTTCCGGGCTCTCCAAAGACCAGGTCCCGCATGCCCCGCCGGATCCTGACTCGGCACAAATAGATTGCCGGTGGCACCAGGTTGTTCATCCACCTTGGAAATGGAGCCCCTACAAAGCAAACCAATGGCTGTGGGTCAAAATCAATGGGAGCCCATTTTGGGGTAGGTGCACCACCCATTCTAGTCTAGTTTAGTGGGGATTGGGATGTTCACTGAGGGTACGGGATTTTGACCCATGGCTCAATCATTTCCGGGGATCCCTACTCCCAATTTGTTTTTCGAAGGCACCCTCTTCCAACGTGGCACCAGCTGCAACTCGGCCAGCTGGCCGAGTTGCAAGTCTCAGCCCAACTCTCATGGTCCGCTTGTTCATACCATTTTCAGGTGGGCTACTGGGGAAATTCTCATTAACAAACACCATTTTTGAGAACCCTCCAATTTTCTTACATACTTTGCTTTTTGTATATATGGCTATTGACCTCATTGGTGGACAGTGAAATGGGAATGTCCGACCATGTTTGAGGGTATTCCTTGATAGAAAGTACAAATCACATGTTTTTTGATTTTTTAAGAAAGCGTCTGAGATGCTCCTAATCAACTCGTGCGTTTCCATTCGGCGTCGCTCCCCCGCAAAAAAACAACAACAACAAACTAGACCACGGTTGGCCCGAAAGCATAACATCGCAAGCGAGGTCGGCCCAACGCTGCAGGATGCGTTCTTTTTCCCTACACGAAGCATTCGTGAAGCAAGCGCGAGAAAGCACCAGACAAGGTGCTCTGCACAAACTGGTCTGCGCAAGTTGCTCTACGCAAGTTGCACTGTGCAAGTTGCTCGGCGCAAGTTGCTCCGCGCAAGTTGTTCCGTGCAAGTTGGTCCCTGCAAGTGGCTCCCTGCAAGTTGCTCTGTGCAAATTGCTCCGTGCAAGTTGCCCCCTGCAAGTTGCTCTGCGCAAGCTGCTCTGTGCAAGTTGCTCTGTGCAATTTGCTCTGCGTAAGTTGCTCTGCGCAAGTTGCTCTAGGCAAGGCGCTCTGCGCAAACTGGTCGGTGCAAGTTGGTCTGCGCAAGTTGCTCTGTGCAACTTGCTCTGCGCAAGTTGCTTTATGCAAGTTGCATCTTGCGACGCCCGCCGGACCAGGGAGGAATCGAACCCGCGACCCGCCGGTCCCGGGAGCAGGCGCGCGAACCACGAGACAACTCCCGCGGACCAGCGACAAACTCGCAAAAAAAACCCTCGAGTTTTTGCCTCGACCACGCCGATTCCCACAGGGGGTTGCGCGAGCACCGCAGAAATCGCAAAAAACCTCGAGTTTTTTCATCTCGACCACGTTGATCCCCGCAGAGGGTCGCGCGGGAACGTTAGAAATCGCAAAAAAAAACCTTGAGTTTTTGCACCTCGACCACGCCGATCCCCGCAGAGGGTCGCGCGGGAACTTTAGAAATCGCAAAAAAACCTCGAGTTTTTGTACCTCGACCACGCCGATCCTCGCAGAGGGTCGCGCGAGCATGTTAAAAATCGCAAAAAAAGACCTTGAGTTTTTGCCAGTTTTTGCACCTCGACCACGCCGATCCCCGCAGAGGGTCGATTTTCGTGTAGTGTCGTCGGCGCTACCCCGCCGCCCTAAGAAGAGATTTTAATCCTCGCAAGTCAATTGCACTTGACTCCTTGCGCTTGCAACTTGCACTTGACTCCTTGCACTTGCAACTTGCACTTGACTCCATGCACTTGCAACTTGCACTTGGCTCCTTGCACTTGCAACTTGCACTTGACTCCATGCACTTGGCTCCTTGCAACTTGCAATGACTCTCATGACTCCTTGCAATGACTCCTTGCAATGACTCCTTGCAATGACTCCTTGCAATGACTCCTTGCAATGACTCCTTGCAATGACTCCTTGCAATGACTCCTTGCAATGACTCCTTGCAATGACTCCTTGCAATGACTCCTTGCAATGACTCCTTGCAATGACTCCTTGCAATGACTCCTTTGCAATGACTCCTTGACTCCTTGCAATGACTCCTTTGACTCCTTGACTCCTCCTTGCAATGACTCCGCAATGAACTGACTCCTTGACAATGACTCCTTGCAATGACTCCTTGCAATGACTCCTTGCAATGACTCCTTGCAATGACTTTCATGATGATGATTCCTTGCAATGACACCTTGTAATGACTCTCATGAGAACAACTCAAGTGAACCCAGCGGAAGAACCCTTCGCCATGCTTTCGGGAAAACAAACGAAACAGGCCCCTCACATGACCCACAAACCGCAGAATGGTTGTTCTTTTCGAGGGACATTTGTCAAAAGCCATGGAGGTTGGGTCTGAAAAGGCCCACCCTCACTGACTCCAAGGGAGCACTTGACAAAACCTCCGGATCCGCGCCTCCACACCCGGAGGGATCTGGACCAGCGGTGGGCAAGGACCAGGGTGACCTGTGGATCGGTTGTGTCGAACCTCGGATCTGGCCCATAACGGCGGTCTCCCTAACTATTGAAAACTGGCAACAAAGTATACCAAAAGATGAAAGCTCAACACAAAACAAAAACAATGCGGATGATGGTCAAACAACTTCCTCAAACACCCGTACAGCCGTTGCCTAATTTTCAATTCGAGAAGTTTATGCCAAACCTATGCTCTTTACCATGACACACAGGATGGTGACGCAAACCAGTTGACCATATCGGCCGGATTGTTTACCGAAGGAACCCTAAAATGGGGTCAACCCTATGCTAATAATTTTGGCCTTTGTATGAACTTGATGGTGTAATTATGTGTGTGTGGTGGTTACCACTGAAATGGCCTCTCAAAAGCAGCAAAGTCCAGGAACTCGGGGAGTGAGTCATACTTTCCAGGGGAATCATTCGGAACCGCCAAACAAGCTCCACGTTGTCATTCGGAGAGCCCCATTGCGTCAAAGGCTCCCTTGAACGTGGCACTCGTGTGTAACGTCCACCAATTAACAACATACAGCAAACGCACACACGTCAACACCAAAAAGAACACCCCCGCCCCATCCCCAACCACCAGACCACAAAAAAACGCCTAATCGGTGATCCTTGTTGATGCACGGTAGAAAAGAGTGGGTACTGTTTTTGGGTGACCCTCTGTGGGCCCGGAAAAAATGAATAAAAAAAACACACAACACATGGCCCCCCCCCCTGCGCAAGGCGACGCAAACAGGGGGCGTTTTCCGGCTCGCGAGCCGGGCTCCCCGCATCCGAGAGCACGGTGAGCATGGACTCCGACGGCACGGCATCTCAGTCGGAGCTTCGCGGGCCAAAGGACCCATGTAGGGTGGGGGGTGGAGGGTGTAGGGGGTGGGGGGGTGTAGGGGGTGGGGGGGTGTAGGGGGTGGGGGGGTGTAGGGGTGTAGGGGGTGGGTGTGGGGGTGAGGGGGTGTAGGGCCAGGTGAACGAATTCCAGAGGTGCAGGATTTCATCTATCCCACAGCAGAAATCCCGCACCTGGCAGACATAAACAACCCAAGTACAAGGTACCCTTTTTGGGGTGTCATTTTTTCAGGGTATCATTTTCGGGTGTCCTTTGGCTTGTGGCCTTCCTTGGGTGCGTTGGGTGAATCCGCACGGTCGATTGGCCTTGAACATTTGGCTCAAATGCACGATCCAACTGATTTCCCTCAAAGGGGACATGGGGACATTTGTGGAAAATTCGAGAGTCCCGTGGCTGGTGGCGAGAACCTTGGCGAGCTTCCCAGATCCGTCCCACATGGACCATCGACTGCAGAACTTCTTTGCCCCTACCTCACAAATCAGGGGGTCGGGGAACGGTGTTGTTCAGTCTTTCCTACAAGGGATCTAGTCCAGAAGGGTTCCCTCCAAAAACAAATTAGTTATACTGAACACATAGAATAAATCATGCTCAAGAATCAGGTCTTCGAACCTGTAACGTAAAACTCGGATTACTTTTTAGATTCCATTCTCAGGGAGGGATGTTAATGTTTCAACAAGTTCAAAAGGCAACCGATTCGGAGGAGATCGACATGGAGCCGAGGCAGCGACAATCGATGGGCAGGCTCGAAGCCTTCACCAGCCTCGTTGCGCAGGAAAAGTGTGAATGAGTTGGCCGTGAAGGGGCCTCGCTTGCCCAAAGTTGACGTGGACATGTGCCAAAACAGGGATTTGGACCCGAAATACTGGGTGTCCTTTTGGCTTCTCTTCAAACCAAGCTGAATACGGGACCCCAAAAACAACCGCACATGGACAGTTGCAACGAAATCACACGTCTTTGATTGGATTGAAAGGGACACTGAATGAAAACCGCTGACACTTGTCGTGGTCGAGCCTGTTCGCTTCAAGCAATAGCTTGACCATTGAATATTCAATGTCTCTTTGAACAAATAGATGGCACTGGTAAACCATGAGGAGTAACAACTAGTCCCTGAGTTTAGTCCTCCTTCAGCACCCCTTCTGACAAGCAGGGTGGACACTTTCATGCCACAAGCCTGCATGCCTACGCGAGGCTTGGCGCTGCGCGCGGAAAACGTGCGAACCCCGCAGAGCGGAAAAAAACAACCAAATGTGCGGAAAAACAAAGCACAGTCTCTGCGGAAAAAGCGGACCCCTCCTGAAAGGGGGCCGTGATGAAGGTTGTCTTGGGGATCCGCTTTTCGAGCTGGAATCCGGCATTCCAGCTCGAAAAGCGGATCCCCGGCCAATCCCTCCTGAAAAGGGGGCCGTGATGAAGGTTGTCTTGGGGATCCGCTTTTCGAGCTGGAATCCGGCATTCCAGCTCGAAAAGCGGATCCCGGCATCCCCAACAACCTTCATCACGGCCCCCTTTCAGGAGGGATTGGCCGGGGATCCGCTTTTCGAGCTGGACCCCTTTTCAGGATCCCCAAGACAACCTTCATCCCAGGAGGTTGGCGGGGGATCCGCTTTCCGAGCTGGGATGCGGCTCCAGCGGATCCCCAAGACAACCTTCATCACGGCCCCCTTTTCAGGAGGGATTGGCCGGGGATCCGTTTTTCGAGCCAAGACAACCTTCATCACGACCACCTTTCAGGAGGGATTGGCCGGGGATCCGCTTTTCGAGCTGGAATGCGGGATTCCAGCTCGAAAAGCGGATCCCCAAGACAACCTT